ATGTATATTCCATTTAACACTTCCTAAGCTATAAAGTCTTAATATAATACAATTAAAACCCAGTTGGACTATTGGTTCTCTATCGAGTCGATACCAGTTCATGTTCGAGATCGATGCCAAGGACATAATAATTTTATGGCGAAATTATCGATTATTATCTAAAAGATTTATTATCCCGTATGTTCTCATTTGAAATTCTTTTTAATTACTCATTACAAATACATGTTTTATACAAGCATTACACCAGTTTAATTTGAACTCTTAAAACAATTAAAATGTATACACTGTTAAGGATTTTCTTAATACTTTAACGACTTTAAAGATACAGTTATAATGGTTAACCAGATCTGGGGCGTAGATAATGATTGCTTATGTACAGAAAGTGTTTAATAAACAATGTGGGCAGTGATATATTGGTTATGTATTTGTTTAAATTAGAAAGATACCCTAAGGCTTATTTAAGGGGCGTTTTGTCATTCTAACTTTGGTTCTAGCTTTACACAAATATGCGGTTCTACCTTAAATTTAATTTAATGTCCTTTCCGATTGTTGATCATTTCTTACTAATATAAACTAGCCGTCGCCCGCGACTCCGAACGCGTGCATATATAAAAAAACTTAATTAGTGTAACCTATGTATTCTTTCAGACTATGTTCTATACGTATTCCAAATTTAATCGAGATCCGTTCAGCCGTTCTAGAGATATCTTCGTTTGAAGTAGTGATGGGTGTTTACCCATCCATCCATCCACATCACATCCATCAAAACATTCGCATTTATAATATTAGTGAGTTAAATAAAAAGCAGTTCTTCAAGGCATAAATTCGAAAAAAAATGAATAAATAGTACTCTCTGTCCGTCTCCTGGCTCTAAGCTACCTCCTCACCAATTTTCAACTATATCGGTAAAGCCGTTCTTGAGTTATAAATAGTGTAACTAACACGACTTTCTTTTATATTTATAGATGCGAATGTAGAAGTCTGGAAGAACATACAGTTTGGGAATTTTAGAAATAACTTCAATAAAAATCCTAACGCTATGCTTATGAAAATTACGGCAACTTAAAGGTTTATTAACAGCATTAATTCGTAGACAGAAAAGATGTAAGATGTAACTGATCGTTATTTTGTGACTGACCTATCAATCATGAGCAAAACGATCCTTATAATTGATATTTCGCAATCGGCTACTAATCGATATTTAAAAGTAATCGATCAAAAAACGAGTAACGGTATGGCCATCGTTTCTGACCGATATAAAATCGATAGAATCGATGTTTCATAATCTCTATCAATTAACTAGTTTAAATTCGACGGGGAAAAATCGATTTGTGGTATTTCTCGGTTGCATTATATCTGCTTGGTTTTTACTCTCGTAATTTAAAATATTATTTTGTTAATTGTATACGCTGTTTTTTATTATAGTTTTTAATCCGTTATTCATTCGTTTTCAATTACAAAGCAAATTGATAGTGTATTAACTGGATAGGACAAGACAGAAGATAGGCGTGAAGTCGATATAATTGTGCGTTTCGTCTGACTGACGGTGGCTTCCCATCCCGCTCCTTTCTTATAAGAATGAGAAAGAGATGTCAATTGGACGGAGGAGAGGATGCATAGGAAGGGAAATATACTTTTTCTTTGTCGATTAATGTAAATTCAAATCTGGTTGTAACTGTCGTTTATAATATTTTAGTAGTAAGTAATGTTACAAAAGGTTTTAAATACCGAAGAAAATTATTTAGCTTTCGGTGGTTTGTCTTTTATTTATATACATATATTATGCGAGCTCTTTACAATGAGCGATAAAGTTATACCATAATTATATTTCATTAAAATATTTTATGATGTACTTTTTTTGCACACTGTACAAGCGTTTCTATGACTTGACGCCGGTCTTAATCAAAACATCCGAACCAATTTATCATATAGATAAATAAGTGTTTGTTTTGTTGTAAAATCAATTTTCGGTACATTAAAGTTATCTTTAGTCGAAAATTAATTAATTCTGTTTTCAACGATTGGGTATATTTATTTGCTGTCCGTACAACAGATCCAGTATTTAGGTTATACCCTAACTTGGTATCGCTGGAGGCTTGACTATACCATAACGGATGTCGTTTTACGGATTCAAATTTATGACTTTCCATTAAATTTTACTGCCCATGCTTACGTGAATATTTGACTTTTAAGAGACAGGACCTGTCAAGCGTACGACCCTCTGTCAAATAAAAAGAAAGAATAAATTCTAAATTTATTTGCTGCTCGTTTTGTATGTGTAATTTTTTTTTAATTTAGAAAAGTGTGTCATCTTTGTCAACATGCTCATGTGATCTTTACACCAGCGCTACGAAAACTGACAGCATTTTTTTAGTATTAGTATGATGAAACGACCAGTGCGGAGACTCTTTGCCGTGTCCCTTTCTCTATAGTCAAAGATGCGAACGAACCAGTTCATTCGATTGAGTTTTGCTCCATTTTATTCAAGTATGGGTCCCTCATTCTTTTATTTATATATTTCTTTGGGGATTATTCTTGTATATTTTGTCACTGTTTATTGTTAACGTCTCCATTGTCGCAACAACTGCATTACAATATTGCCATCCCTTTCTTTCTCTTCGAAAAAAAGAGAGATAGGAATAACGTTCTTATACTCTTACGACATATAAAATTAATAGTTATTCAGACATCTTTAATGCAAACAATTTAATGTTTATTATAAACGAAAACAACTCTTAAACAAAATGACAGATTTTTTACTTTACTTAATTTGTATCGAAAACATCGAATTTATTTACAATTTGCGAATGAATAAGGTACTCTACTTTTTTTTTACAAAATTATGTAATTATTTTTGTAAAAATATTAGCAGATTTTTTTGTAGATTTACTAATATTTCTTTTATCATTCCAACTAAGCTGTACGCTTGTGCTAGGATATGGTTTACGACAATAGTCGAATGGCGGGATTCGAAGCCCCGACCTCGTGATCGGGGATCCGTACCCTTAACCATTAGGCTATTGACGCTTAGATATATAAATAGAGTGAAGATTTAATAATTATTTAAAGTTTACATGTGTAAAAAACATTTACACATTGGAGCTCTTATAAGCTTTATTTCCACATAAAAGGCAGTAAAATTTTATTCACAAAAAGTTAACATTTTCAAGTTTATATATTTCACAAGATAAATATTGTCACGAGACGTTTTACGTATCCGTTCACCTGACAACTGGTTCACGGCGTTATCCAATTATTCCCACGTCAGAAGAACTAAATTATTTAACCGTAGTTTAATTAATCGTTAAGTTACGACAACGATTAAAAATCTTTTTCCACTAAGCGAGTAACCGCGCGACTGCTACTTAGACAATTAGTTATCAACTCCAGTGGATGCGGCACATTGCTCATTGGAATTTAAGCAGTTTATCTCATAGTGGAAATGGGGTCTAAAACGGGCAACACTTCCCGTCTACACTCGTTATCTCTGAATAGATTTCACACCGATTCAAAATGGCCGCCGATTGAAATGTCACTTTGAATTGTATTAATTTAAGTTGTCAATTACTACTGTTTTGTTGTACAAATATTAACACCCTGTATATTGAATAGTTAATTAATGCAAGTAATAAATTCTGTACTATCTTATGTTGTAAAGTAACAAAATAATTATCTCAAGAGTTTGTATCGTATGAACTCGAAAACTATTTGACCGATTTTAAAAATTCTTTTGCCTTTAGTATGTTACATTATCCCTGGGTGACATAGGTTATATTAAAACTAGCTGACGCCCGCGACTCCGATCGCGCGGAATTAAAAAAAAACTTAATGAGTAGTCTAAGTATTCTTCCAGACTATGTTCTATCATCATCATCGTCATCAGCCTAAACTTGTCCACTGCTGGACGTAGACCTGCCCCATCGATTGCCACAATGCCCGGTCCTGTGCCGCCCGCATCCAGTGGACAGTTTTCTATACGTATGCCAAATTTCATCGAGAAACCGTTCTGGGGATACCTTCAAACAGACATCCATCCATCCATCTAAACATTCGCATTTATAATATTAGTAAGATTTAAATTAATACGATGTGAGGATTGGCAGCTTGCTTTCTATACTAATATTATCAATAGGAAAGTTTTTTTGTATGTTTGATTGCATTGAATAGACTCCGAAACTACTAAACCGATTAGAAAAATTCTTTTACTGTTGGGAAGCTACACTATCCCCGGGTGACATAAGCTATAATAACACTAGATTTTTTTATTACAGCGTGGACGGATAGCTAATTTTTTTAAATAAATAAAAGCTTAAGAAAGAGAAACAAAATACACATATAGTGTCATATTATTAAAGTTATTAAAACTGCTTATAACATATTAAAGATGTACACAAATTTAAATATTATACGGAACGACAGTTAACGTATTAAATAACAGCATTTAATATGGTACATTAAATGTTATACTAAATAAACAAGAAATTGCATAAATATTAATTCATTGCATAAAATATCTGGTTTATTATGTGTTATTACAACTTAACGACATAGAAATAATCTTATAGTACATACTTGTTAAAATAAAGCGTATGTTATGTAGTTTAAAGGTACGCGTTCATTAGTCGTACGCACAGCATGGCACGCAACGGATTTTAGTTTGCTTTGATATAGCGCTGCGTACATCCGCCCGCGTCAAGACAAAGCACATTCGTATAATCCGTGCGTGCGGTGCGTCCGGAGTCAATGGACGTGTACCTTTAGTTTTAGAGATTTATTTTAGCGATATTAAATCTATGCAAAAAAGCTACGCAATTCTAAAACGAAACTTTGGCAGAATTTTGTAATGGCTTTAGACGAGTTGATGTCTTAATTTTTTTTTAATTTAATTTGATTTTTATGATTAAATTTAAATTAATTTTTGTTTTTTAATATGAGATGTAGTTATTTTACTTTTCTGTTACGTTTCTTTCTAATGTTTTTTTTTTTCAATTTGTTCACAGATAACTCTTCGTAGAGCCATCAAAAATGTTGAAATGATTCGACAGTAGAGTTTTGAGGTAAGTTATAATATGCACAGACATTTTTACATATTATAATCTTTATATCGCTAATATTTATTACTCATAACAAAATACACAAACGTTAAGGTAATCAACCTAGTTAAGGTCTGTTTGATACTAAAATAAAATATCATTTCAAATAACAACAAATTTATTTGTGATTGACAAGTTAATTAAATACATTAAACATAATTTTTAAGTTGTCGATGGTCAGGTCCTAAATAACAAGTTCGCCATTGAGGTAGGATCGACAAAAACTGGTCGTACGGTTAAAATGGAGCCTGTATGTCGCTTGCATACCCTTCACTTGATAAGAACCAGAAAGTTAGTCAACAATATCTTTAATGTTACCGTATTTATCGTCTTCCTGCATTGTTAATACTTAATGTGGTAAAAACAACAATTTTTCGTCTTCCAAATACATTATTAAAGTCGTCACTCGTTTCTTAATCATCACGCTTCATGAATTCACCACTATGTATAGATGGATGGATGCTTGTTTTAATACAACGCAGACGGAGTTGACGGGCAACAGCTAGTTTGATATAAAGATAAATATATATAACGCCCGGTATAACTTTTCCAGTCAAGCGATCGATTTCATAACTAAATTATTATTGGAAAAAAACCACACTGGAATGGATTCATATAAGCCGGACAAAACATATTATACTGCTAAAACATAATTAGTTGAAAATCTGTAAGATTTCCAACTAGATTGTTAACCAAAGGTTTATATAGAGTTGACCCTGAGGAAGCGAGAGTCTAAGGGGCTGAGATATCTTTCTCGATTATAGTATATCCATAACCCGAGTTTCTCGGTTATCAAAGTAAGACTGTATATTTGAAGTAAACATGATGAAATAAATTGTAATTTTCTTTTACTAGTTTTTCTGACCTGGAAACTGACTGTTAATATATGTAGCTAAATCAAACTATATAAGGCAAAATGTTAACTGATTCGTTCGTGTGTCCGTTCACAAGAAATATTGCGTCAAAGTTAAATTGCCAAGAATTTGGGACATGCTATACATAGAGTTAGTGCCAAGGTTCACATTAATTTTGTTTGAAGGAAGTTTTATAGTTTATCATTTGGAAATTCACCGCGAATTTTAAACTAAAAGTATTGCATCAAATTAAATAACAACTATAGATGTATTCAGTTGAAAGTTACAAAATCATCATCATCAACCTGCCCTTATCCCTATCGAGGGTCGGCACAGTATGTACTACTCCTCCATACATCTCTATCAGCCGTCATATCAGAGTCTACCCCCTTCTTACGCATATCCCCTTTCACACAGTCATTCCATACTTTTTTTGGTCTTCCCCTACCTTTGTAGCCATCCACATTCAATACTAGAGTATTTTCTTAACTTAAATTTTAGTATTAAATAGTACTTATAAGGTAGTCGACTATCCGCTATTTCGCTTACTGATTAGTGCGTGATTTATTTATGTGCTCCAATGCATGTCAACTGCGATTGCGTTGAAAATGCATTAATTTCTTACTTATTCAGTCTTAATGTCAATATGCTGACAATAAAATTGACAAATCTTTTATCCATTTAATAAGTAAACAAAAGACATTCTTATCATCTAGGGAATACATTTTTTTTGCAAAAAGGTTGTAATAGGTTAATGCAAAGATTAATTTCTGGCAGATTTTTATGGTTAGCTGTCTTCGCTTCACATTCGACATTTAACAGCAACAGTGGTAGAGCCCGCTTTAACATCATCGCACGAATTGGCCCGACTCGCCCGGTGAACACAGGCGTCAAGTGGAAGCAATTCCGCGTACAGTCTGATGAGTGTGCGTCCCGGAGGCCTAATTTAGTCCTCTTTCCCTTCCCACTCTTTGAGAAGTGGACTTTCCTGATGACAGGATGCATGGGAAGGGAAAATATTTTCTTTCTGTGCATCCTCCGTCGATTAAAGGTAGGCAACGCATATGCAATTGCATATGTCTATGGGCAACGGTCACTTCGCTATTTCAGCGATTTCAGGTGGACGCTCGCTCGTTTGCCACCTTATGATATATAAAACAAAATTAAAATATAATGAGCAAGTGAGTCACATGATATTAGTAACCACTACCCATAAACATTGCTTCAAGCGAAAGAATCATAGATTCTTGGTCTAGCATTTTAGGATAAATGAAAATTGTCGGATTTAGCAGACGACGTCCGAAATATGATATATGTATAAAGGCTTTATAGATATTAATTAAGTGAAAATATTTTTGTTTGTTATTTCTTATTATTGTTATTATCATTGCTTTCTTTTAATTTTATATCGCTTGCTTGTACAGTTTACTGTAGTCTTGTAATTAGCTCCTAAGTTGATAGATTATGTGTGTTGATTATGGGACTGATATGTTCAAAAGAACAAAAGTCCCTTAAAAAAAAGAAAGAGAAAAAAAAAGGATAAATGAAAGAACATTTCTTGATCTAACTTTATTCTTAGATAAACGTATTGTATATTGTGTCAGTGTGAACTTACTTTTGCCCATTTAAACTGTCTTATAAATAGTGTCTTTGTCAAAATTACTTGAACATGAATTTATATTTATACATGTAAGATAAATGTCCATCACAATGGTCATAAACTTTATCTCAGTGACAGTTGATTTGAATAAATGTAAACAAAACATTGCTCAAATACGTAACAATATTAAGCTATAAATGTACAATAATATAAACCGTAGCTTGTTAATAACTAGAAAGTTAGTCAGTATACTTATTTTTTTGACGACTGAAATAGATCGGTCTGGAGGACGAAAACTGGTGCGCTCACCCCACACAGAGCGGGATAAGTACAGATATGATAATAAATTTAGTAAGACTTATTTCAAATATAGTCGGCTTACAGTAGTTGTTGACTTCGACCCAGAATTTAAAAAAAAATCCTAAAAAATTCCCGCGTTTATCAGCTTTCCCTTTGATTGTTATAACCTTTTTAAGTTTAAAGTTTTATTAAATCCAAATAGATTAAGGCATATCAAAACAAACAATATCTTTAAATACAAAGATTTAATTCACGTTCACACTTATTTCGGACATACAGATAACTTTTAATATATTGATCTGTCAAATCACGGCGCGTCGCCTTGAGTTTCGTTCTCTTATTCGTAATAATTGGCTCCATAAATATTCTACGCAGGTGCGACTGATGCTTGGCAGTGTAACACAAATTTATAATGGTAACAAAATTATACAATTTATATTTCTAATATTATAAATGCGAATGTTTAGATGGATGGATGTTTGTTTGAATGTATCTCCACAACGGCTGAACGGATCTCGATGAAATTTGGCATACATATAGAACATAGACTAGAAAAAAAAATAGGCTACTTATTATGTTTTTTAACGCGTAGTTTGATATAAACTAAAGTAAATACACACCAAATCAACGCTAAAAAAACAAAAGAGAAGTACTTTATTGGGTTTTTTTATTTAAATCTATTATATTTTTTAATTCAAAGGAAATCTTTTCTATTTTGACGTAGTGGTTTTTAAGTTTATCGCGGCTAAACAGACAAACGCGACGTGGAAACTTTGCTAATAGTTTCTTTATGGTTTAAGTTTTAAAAATAATTGATGCTGACAATTTTTTTTAATAGTAAATTAAACTTAGCTCATTATTTAAATTATTTTACAACTCTTACGGTATACATGAATGGCATTCATTTCTGTAGTTAACCTACAACATTTGGAATTAAATTATTGACTTAAGAATAAACTTTACCCGAACAGATTAAAAATACTTCACATAACTCTTATTTTATTATTGGCAACCCTGACACGATCCTCAATTATTAATTCCCGCCATTTTTGTGTGCAATAAATTAATGTTAAACAGGGTCAAAAAGGATTAAAAATCGATTTCGAAGCGTTGCATTTTATTGACGTAAAGCTTTTATTTCTCGATGTTTATTTGTTTTAAAGGCATTTGTTATCCAAGAATAAAAATTATTAGCAATAAATTATATTTAAAACTTTTTATGTTGCCTTTTAAATTATTTCTCATTAGATGATAAATTCATATTAATGTGTCACAAAAATTTTTAAATATAGGATTTTGAATACTGATTTTATTGTTTTTTTTATTTTTATCTTGTAAGTGAAGCGTCAAAGATTATTGATATTTTTCTTAATATAATTACAATATTTTTTTTGTATTATTACATTCTGGCGGAGGTACACTCAGAAGCGACGGTGGCAGGGTTCAAGCACTTGACTTGCAATCTGCAGGTCCTGGGTTCGAATCCCGCCATATATCAATGTGTTTTTCGATTTCCGATTTACATATGTACTATCCGACGTTCTTACGATGAAGGAAAACATCGTGATGCAACCTGCACATATCTAAGAAGAACCCCGCACTTGGCCAGCGTGGTTGACTATGGCCTAATCACCCTTAACTTAGGGTAGGCTCCGAGCCCCTCGGTGGGGACGTATAGTGAGCTGATGATGCTTACCACACTCTGAGTGTAAATTACTTTACCGCGAAAAAACGATTACAAAATGTGTTCAATTATTTTTACACAAATATAAATTATATATTTGTTAATAAAATACGGAATTAAAATGTGCAATATAAAATGCGGAACAATTTTTTGGGTTCCTTTTTATACTTCGTGAACGTAATTTGCACCACGCTTAGTAAATTTCAATAGGCAAACAGAACTGACGGGGCCAAAGAACTACTACAGCTTTAAAAACCTTTAAACTGTACATTTGCTAAGTTTTCTTAACATATAACTGTGTGTTTCCACAGTATAAAAACATGTTTTCATTCCTCTTAGTCTCTTGTAAGAAATACATACAACGTATGTAGTAAGTTATTATTAAAATCAATCGTGCCTTATCATTTACAGAGGAACACAATTTATTAAGTCATTCCACTAATATATTTCCGCATTTGGAACTTATCGAAGTGTAAAAAAAACATAAGTTTTATTACGTCATAATAACAACCTAAATGTACGAGTG